TGTCATGTGATAAATCGTATACGTTTATACAGATATGGCAGTGCTCATAATACTGTAAAGAAATATTGTTCGGATAACATTGTCTATTAAGTAAGTTATTAAAAAGGCTTAACTAAAACTAGCCATAATCGAAATCGATTATGTGAGAGTTGCCATAATCTTACAAAATAAGAAAAAAGTGTCAGGACCATTGTAAAATGAAGGGGGACTGAGTTTACTGTTTCTGAAGTCCTAGACCGTTATACTTAAGTTTCTTATCAAGCCTCCTTTAGAACCAATTTTTCTAACTTCATGAATAACCTTTAATGAAGATTCTCTAGGAGAAAGTTAACCAGATTTGACCAGATATTCAAAAATGTAAGTAGTGACTGAATGATCTTTTACCATTAGATAAGCATGCTAGTTAGTGCTCAGATATGATTTTGGATAAAGCACAATTTCTGCGATAAAATAAGTTAATTCTGAACACACTTCATATAAAATGGAACACAAACAAATATAAAATTTCAATATGAATGAACAAGCATTTATTAAAGAATTAATTTCGACCACACTCATAACGCGATGGCGTTTAAAGCGAACGGCACAGGGTTCGAGTCCCGAAGTAAACATCAACTCTGGAATGCAGGTACATCCAGCTGACAAGTTCCAAATAGGACTAAATACTCATCCTGGATTCCACTGCTACCCACCATCCATCTTTGCTTATCATGCTTGTGACTTAAGGGAATATCGAGACAATCTGCACAGAATACGCATATACCAATAAAAGACTGATCAATTGCAGTCTTAAACATCGCTGAGAAAATTTAAACAAATAATATAAAACACATTTAACTTTGTTAATTTTGATCTCGATTATTTACTTAATGAACCTCTAATTAAATTACCCGGTGTAAAGTTAAAATTATTCAAATTTCAATCACTGAAATGAATTCAACTAGAAGTTTTCTTTTAATAAGGACTAGAACTATCTTAATTAATTAAGAGGAGTCCCATACTAGGATGAAACGGCCGTCCAGTGCTTCCAGGTTTTCAATGGTGGTCTAGCTTCAACTGACTCATGATTTCAATCTGTGAAATTTCTAAAATCTCCACAAAACCCATTCTGATAATTAAGAATAGTAAAAATAAACCTATTTAAGTTAATTTTAAATATTATTATGCATCATTTGTAAATATTGAGCGATTACACTTTGACTTAAACAGTTTGTTTGATATTCTCGTAGTTGAATATTATCTCAATGAAAGTTTGCAATCATTATGTGTTATTATAAGAAAGGGGTTTTGTGGAGATTGTAGTAATTATGTATTAGTTTTATTTAATTTCATATCTGTATTTATTGATTAAAAATTCTTGTTTCTTTTTCTTTAAATTTCACAAGATAGTAACACATCTGAATAATTCACTTAATTTTTGATTTATATTCCAGTTTAATTGTACAGTTCTTTATAACTATCTCAGTACTACATGTGGTATTCAAATAAACGTGACCTTTTTAAATCAGTAAACAAGCCATGCGATTACATATATATTATTAACAATGTGATATTTCTGAAATATGAGTCAGTTAAATGTGTGCAGTTAGTATTGAATGACATAAATACTACAATCTCTGGATGATTTGTAGTTTTGCTAAATATGATAAACGTATTTCGTAGATGATGCGGTTTCTTAATTTAGTCGTTTCACAGTAAAAATTCCATTTCCCTCCAGGATAAAATAATTAGTACCAACTTCAAAAGGGAACACATTGATATTTATATTGTAACTAATGTTATACTTCATTCAGTATAAGTTAATAACAGAATTCATAAGCCATAGGACTGATGGAAAGTCAACGGGATTACGTTTATGGGAAAGATGGAAACGTAAAGAATATCTGATAGGGATCAAGTTTGGTAGCCATCACATAAATGGAAGTTTACTTAAACCACGTCATCCAGTTTCCAGAATTCACGTACTGAGTAACATTCATGGAAAGTCAGTTATTTTTAAATAGAGGTGTAAGACTAATCAACTATGGAGATTATTAAAATCAAACCGAAATTTAATACGGTCAGTACTAATGAACAAGAATTTCACTTTGCTCCCAAATAAGCTATCAAAATGTATGATACTAGAATCATGTTTAGTGAATACGTATCAATAATCTGTTTTGAGTTATATTTAAAGTAACGGAATAATAAAAGTTTCACAACTGTCAACACATTTATTATTATCGTTTATTCCCAGAGAGTTTCCTTGACAGAGTGATGAAAACGTATTAATGAAATAAATATTTCTAAATGCTACCCCAACAAATTATATCTAGTAAATTCTAGTTACAAGTGATTCTGTTGTACTAGGCTAATCTGTTAATCAATCCGTCTAGAAAAATATAATTATTTAAGTCAGTATAAGTGTTGATAATTATTAATACTATTTCACACTGTATGCATTTTTTTTTACCATACACTTACTAAAGTCTAGGATTAAAGTAAAATGGGTAAATAAGGAAGACTACTTGACTAAACAATAGTTTGTATTTTAATTAAGCTCATCTTTAACCGAAGTAGCAATAATAAAATAATACAATAAAAAATAGAAGGATTCAGCGTTAAAGACAGAATTGGTAAAGAGAACAGAATGACAAACTTAAGTATAGGAGTGTGGGAAACTAAACTGTGACCAACCGAATTAACGTGTATACTTTGTGTATTTCTTTCTGTCATTATCAAATTATATAAAACACTTTTTTCAGGAATATTATTATGTCTGTATACCTGAAAATCAATTAAGAGCTAGGCGTGGTCAAAGTAAGCTGTCTAAACGAATTGATTTTTCAAAACACTAATCCCTTTGAGGATGATTCGGGTCAGACTTACAGGTTTCCTCATTGACTCGAATGAATATATATATATATATATATATATATATATATATATATATATATATATATATATATATATATATATATATATATATATATATATATATATATATTGGTACTGATTTGTGGACGTATGATAAAACTCGTTTCTTTCCATAAATCCTAAAAGGACCCATTCAACTGCCAAAAGACTAAAAGATCTAACTGAGATAAAATTATTTTTTCACTTTCGACCAACATACAGGTTGAATAAATTTCACAGTTACTTTAAATTAAACATGAACTGGACTCAGTATACTGTCCAAATTATAAATTAATGGTGAATGAAACACTAAAAGAATTACTGAATCAACTTGTATCTTTTACGTACTCTCAAATGTAACTGCTATATTAACTAGTTGGAAGTACTGTTCAATTCTTTTATAATGAAATGTATTAAACTTGGTATTAACCTATGTATGTGTGTTATTGGAGTGACTATTAATGTAGAACTATTAAAGCGCCTAAAATCAGAAAAGAAAATCAATTCTAATCTTAAAAATTACACTTTACTAGTTTTAACACTGACCTTATAAAAATATAATTAATAATATTTTTTCTAAACGGTCAAAAAAATGTACACAATCTGTTGAAATTGAGTGACCTACAGATGAGGAACCAATCGAATGAAAAGTATTTCAGATACAGTGAAATACAATTTTCTATAGTTTTAAAACGGCTTCCACATATTTTACATCATCTACAGACATGGAGACTATGTAAGAAAAGTGCAGAGATAGTCAGTGAAATGAAGAATAAATCCAAAAAAATTAAAATCTTCAAATAATAGAAGCGATTCATTGTGTCATTAAAAAAGAATTAATGGTAATTTAACGCAGAAAATATTCTTTTTAACGATGTCATTTTCTTAATCTGTACAATCGTATTTATAATGGCTGAACAATTAAAGTATTCCATCTTTTATACATTTGGTTTCATTTTGTAATTTGTTCTTCAACTTTGCATTTGTTACGTAGCCCTATTTTGCACTATAAATTGTACATTTATATTTATGTGTTTCAATAGACTAGATCAATTGCAGTTTAAACCTCAATGGGAAGATACAAGCCAAACAATACCAAGTGAATTTAGACTACTACTTTGTTTGTTATATCAACATGAATACAGCTCTATTAAGCGGGATGGCTGGAAGAATTATTTATTATGCTGAATTATTTTACATCTTTTTCAAATTAAAATCTGCTTATTCTTCCTAACTCTATGGATAATATCTAAGAAATAGTTAAGTTTAACTGTTTTGGAATTTTTATTAAAAATGTTTAAGAAAAGATGTTGATCTCAGTCTTGAGGTGGATTTCTATTATAGACCGGGTAACATATTTTTTAACTGAATGAAATCAGGCTAGATTGTGTTTTGTCTCAACTGTATCGTCTAGTATTTCTTATTTCTTTATATGTGGTTTCCTGCATCTATTTCTACATAACATGTACATTTTGTTCTTGATCAATGGTAGTTAATGGCATCCTTCTGTAATAACTCTTTATATATTTCGTTATATTTAAACAATTTGTCACGTACAATTTAGAATGATTTCAAAATAGCTGATTCTTTTTATTAAATTGATTTGTACATTCTTGATCGCAGAATATTTGCTCGTTATCATTCAAACTATTATAGTTTGAGAATCAGATAAATAAAGTAACTAGAATAACAATATATCATTCTAAATTATTAGATCTTACTGAAAACCATATGAAGTAAAGATCTAATTGAAATATATATATAAATTAGTTTTCAAGAATAAAGATGAACCAACCGTCTCTTGTTACTCAGTCCTCCAGAGATAATGTCTACTGTATTATTATTCATGAAGGATATGCAAACTGAATCTTCTCATGCGTCTGTCTTGAAATATACATCTGCAATACAGTTGAAAGTTTTCTAACAAGTATGTTGTCTTTAAACAGCAAAAATACTGCCGAAACATCCATTTTTCAATATCCCAGTTGTCTGTTAAGTTAATTAACGATGGATACGTTTCATTCATACTTTTTAAAAAAACCCAGTTAATTAAGAAAATATTCACTGAAAACGAAAAAAAAACTAAACAGTTAACTTCAACTTACATGACACGTCGTTTTAATTAATTGATCAATTATTTGGTCAGCTAGTGTATACGATAACTTTCTAATTTCTTCGATTTCTGCCAACGTTTCAGGAGCTAACAGTTCACCGAACAAATGATTTAAAGATAAATCTGATTTGAAAGTATTCTGATGACGATTTTCTGAACTAGGTGTGGTCGATTGTGATAACAAAGAGGATGTATTATCCTTAACATCTACTGTACCAACTGAAGGACATTTAATGTCATGTGTAAGCCAATTGGGTGTGAGGTAGACAGCCAAGTCGTAGAAGAATAAACTAAGCCAAAATTGGAAGACTATTCGACCAGATTCAGTCTATGTGAAAAAAAAGTTGTAAACAAATGGTAGATAAGAAAACTGAAATCGTGGAATTGATTCAAAATGAAAATAAGATTTCTTCAATTTACACATACATAAAAGACAGATACGAATATCTAGATTTTGTTAGAAATTCCAAATACTTCAATACTAGGTTTATATCTATTGATTTCAAAGCTTGTATATTTTTTTCGAAATCACATCATCATTTAAAACAGTTCACTATATTTCATTATACTAAATGCAGTACATTTAGATTGAGCTATTTGTTAGGTGATAATGTTCTGTAGAGGAATATTACTGCTTCAAATTGATAATCTACTAATTAGGTTTTTAAAAAAGTTTGGGAATTTGTGGAGATTGTTGTATTATAACACTTGGATTCACGAGTCAATGTAAGTTAGACCACCACTGATAACCTGGAAGTACTGGACGGCTCACAGTTATTCACCTCAGACAATCAATGAATGGCTGCGCAAGACTATGCAGCGACTGAAGTTAGACAATAGCATTGTTCGATGCCGGCCAGCTCAGTGGGCTAGAAGTTAACCGTTCGCACGAAAGACCGGAGGTCATGGGTCCGAGTCACGTGTGTGGGGTTGTGGATTTGCACTAGGACAATTATGTATGTGATTTTATAGCGCTCCATTTCATTTCTTTTGAGTGACAAAATTCCAGTTTATGAAATTACATACAGATGATTAAATGGATTAATATATTCTCAAAGTCAAAAACACTTTTAAAACTATATAAAATACATAGTATCCATCAATCAATTTACATGATGAGATTCTACAAGACAAAAACAAATGAAACACTTGACTAATGAACTAATCAATAAAATTACCATTCTCATAAACGCAACATAATTTATATATGTAAATATCAATTTAGCTGAAACTAAACAGAATACAATAAGAAAAATACATTTAAAGATTTGTAACTAGCTAGTGATAGAATATTTTTCTATATTTACGAACAGAATACATAAATAATGATCATAAGACAAATGTATCTAGGCTTGCAGAAAATAAAACAAAGGGATAATAATAATAATAATAATAATAATAATAATAATAATAATAATAATAATAATAATAATAATATGAAATAAAAGTGCTTTTTTACACCTACTTTTATAAAATGAATGTTAGTCAAACACACACGAAAAAATGAATGATTATAGTTTCCTAGCATATGATGGAGAAAAAATCAACAAGATGGCTTGTTAAAAAAACAAACTGATAATTTAACCTTTTCCCAATAAAGATAGCAATAATAATGCAGTATTGTTATGACTTTATTGAAACATCATTTTAAAAGTACACGTGATCGCCTGAAGGTGTGCTACACGATTATTGATGTGATACTGGTAACCATTTCTTAAAATAATTCTTTTCAGTTTCCACTAACTTCTTATCGTTTCTGAACTCTAACTAATAAGCGTCACATGACATCATCATTAAATCGATTCAGGCTATTTTATCCTGAGCATAAAACACTAAATTATTTTCTTTTACCTAACTGGTAAAATGAAAGAATGTTGCCATAAAGTTATTCCATTTAGTATTTAGATGATAACTAGTTTCTATAGAATGTCTAAAGTTGTAACCGAAATCTTCGGAATAGTAAACGCATTAACAATACTATGGAACAATACTAATAGCACAGCATAGTTTCAATCTTAGACGTTTGAATCTAATCAAGACAATGTCATGAACACGGAATTTATGATTAATGACGCTCATTACATATACAGTCCACAGATTTGGTAAACAATTATATCCTGAAAGGTTTGAAACCCTTTATTTAAAAAAAGTTTCGATATAAGAAATTGATCTTAGTTAGATAATCAGTGAAAACAGAAGCATTGGGCACCTATTTCATCCTAGTGCGAGACTCTGAAAATGTGAACCCACGACTCTCTTGAGGTCTAACACGGGACTTTCAAGCCACGTGGAGAACATGTTATCTTTCATTTAACTACCATTCAGCTAATCAATAGATAAATGGCTTTGAGTAAAGCTGAATCAGTTTAGTAAACCTACCAATCCATGATTAGACAAGATTAATTCAGGACCTAGAATATTCACAAACGTGAATGCTTCATAACTGTTAAAAAATACTGATTCAGGAGATGTAAGGCAACAAGATGGGTGCCATATAAAGATTCACATACGAACAAAGTTATAATTTAAATATATGGAAAGTGAAATTTTTCATACACTTCCAAAAATCAACAAAAACTAATTCATTTACCCAACTCGGTCAATGAATTTTCTCACATTTTCACTGAGAGTAAATTTAGATACATTTACTGATACATGTTAAATGATTCAAAGAATCTACTGACCTTTATATGGATAAAATTTCTGATTAAAGTTAAAATATACTTCTTCCATATAAGTAACTATTACTCATTCTGTTAAGCCTATCCACCGACAGTAGTATTCCACATCATCACTTTTATTTAAAGCTTGTGAATGTTCTTTAATAAGTTCTATCAAAAATCTTTTAACATTGTATATACCGGCTGCATCGATATAAGCCTATATTATTTGTAACCTCATCATCATATTATGATAAACTAGTTTCCTTGTTCATAAGAGACCAGCATGTTATACATCACACTGTACTTGATATAGCTTTTTTATCACCAAACTATAGAAGGTTTGAGTATGATGATTTAAATCACTCAACTTTTAAACAATAAGTAAAACACTACAAAATCTTGCTTCAATTAATTCAAATTAGGCACCCATGTAGTAGTACTAAGGAAATGTTTTATGAATTAATAATATCGTTATGAGTCAAGTACTCGAATTTAGGCTTATTTTACGAATTTGCAATAAATTACGAATTCGGCGGTAGCGTTAAATGTTTATAAGTGATTTGTGAGATGATTCTTTGAACAAATATATCGTTTTACATCCAGCATTTTAAATTTGAACCAAAATATTAATGTATTACTTTTATTTAGAATGATGTATTTATTTTACACATCAGAACATTTAGAAATTAATCAAAAGAGAACAACAACTATCATTCGTAAAACTAAATACATAGAATAAAGTATGATGAATTCATAATCAATAGAATAAAGTAATAACACATGATTCCTTCAAAATTTTCATTCAGAATCATTAGTTATTTATCATTTTTGATTGATTCATATTTTAAATATCTTCCATTTAAAACAATTTCAGTAAAAATGTTCAGGACAAAAACTCAGTTTCAAACTTGAAACTAAATTTATTACCAGATTGTGTTTACATTTAAAATAAATCTCTGATCTGATTGTGGACTACTTTATTATTAAATAATGGCCTCGTATTAATATCATATCAGTAACTCAGTTACCATGACGAGTTACGGATCGTTTCAGTATGACATTCGTTCGTATTGAGTTATGAATGGGAATTTGTGGAGATTGTAGTGATTTTATTGATGAATACCCGACCGTTGTTGCTACCTTAACATGGTGGTCGAGCTTGCCTATCCTGACGAACCAATCGAGCTATACTGGCTGGAACAACCGTTCCTCAAGGTTGAAGAATAGTAAAACTAAAAGCAGCAAACTCAAGATACGAGGGCGAAGTCGTATTGCTGACTGTACAGAGGTGTGATGGCAGTAAGGCGTTTCCTTCAGACAACCAACATCACAACGGTGCTGCCTTCCCACAAGAAAGGATGAGGTTAGAAAACGTCGACCCTAAAAATACACACCTCACTTTATCCCATGGGTTTCCGTCTCTAGTGGTAAGGTCCCAACAAGTACGGAGCCAAGACGAAAATTACTCACAGAAAGGTCATGTGTGACCGGCCCCAAGCAGTTGTCCCTTAGGCATTGCGGTCACGCTCTCAGGTCACCAAGACCACCTCTAAACCATTTTTCTTTTTAGGTACCAGGAAGTGAAATCCACCCTCATATCTCTAATAGCACTCAAGATCACTGTTTACATGATCAACCTCCCTCTTCAATTCCTTTTATTCCTCCGATATCGATGAAACTACATCCTCTCCTCTGCAATCAATAAGAAGTCATAATGGCTTATTAACGCACTATATCATAAATACTATCATATTCACCTACAAGATATCACTCTATCAAGATGTCGATGGAATGCTGCCCATTAGTAACCATTTAACTTTGACTGTTCTTGTTAACATCATATTCTGTTGTTATGCTGACAACAATCATTCATTACTACAATAAATTTCTTTTTTTTTCAAGAAAAGATAATGGTATTAATTGAAATTCCCATAAGCAGTTTGAAGAGATATCGTCGAAGAGTTTAAAAGTAGTAACGACATAGTTTATTTAGATATATTTTCAACATATTTTATTTAACACAACTATTATCAACTTGCAGTGAAAATAAAATAACTTAATACCTTTGTTGTTGTTTTTTATTAAAAAAAATAACATTTTACAAAATTATTTAACAGTTAAAATTGTCATGACTAGTTAGATTGAAATACGTAAGAATTCACACGTTGAATTTAATCTAACAAATATATTATGCTAGTAACAAAAATAAAACACAATCAAGACACACATCAATAGTAAACTAATTGTGTAACTATGATTATGTGCATAGATTTATTAAAGACAAATAGATTGAAATAGAATGGACAGGAAAATGAGTTATTTCACTTCATTTAAGAATCAGTTATAAACATAATAAAATAGATGGATAATTTCTAGGACAACTATATATAAATAGTGTCTTTTGTGTTTAACTTATCATAAATTAAATCTAAATGTACCCACAGTAAAAGTAAAGAAAAAATGTGTGAATATTTAGATAGTAAACGTTTTCAATCAGTGAATGAATAACCATTATTTTATTCATATTAATGTCACTATTTATTATTATTAATACTGACAAAACTAGAAGTGAAAATAGTATATTCTGTATTTCATCTTGATAATCTTGTTTTTTAAAAATATTTTCATCAAATATTTCAAAACGTTGGTATTTTTTTCAAACAAT